AGCCTGGCACATATCAATTTCTTTGTTAAATTGACAAACTCATATAGGCTTGCAGAGCCCAGCAGGCACAACTGGCCACTGCAAGACGGAGGTTTCTAGGGTTGTGTCTGGGACTGGAGATATTGGCTAGTGTCACTTGCTTGCACAATCCAAGCAGCAGCTGGCCAGAAGTGCCCACTCACGTCGCTGGGAGCAGCTCACATCCAGAGGCTGTGCGTGAACAGCCCAGGGGTGGGGGTTCTCACAGCACAGCAGGGTAATCCCCAGAGTCGAGGGTTGGAGCGACCTAGCAGATCATGGTCCAGATAACACCAGGGGAACATCACAGTGGCCTGCACCGAAAGTCTTGGCGTGGGGCTGATCCCAGGGCCTAGGGCCAGCGTGACCCTGCCGGGAGCCCTGCCCCCAGGCGCTTCCATCCTGGTGCTGGCTCTGTATCCCCTCAGCTCCCCAGCCCCAGCTCTGTGCCTGCTGCCCATCTCCGACCTCCCCAGCCCAGCAGAGCCGAGGAGCCGCTCTCCTTTCCAAGGAAGGGCCCTGACAGGCCCCGATCCTGGCTTCCCTGGGCACAGAACCAGCTGCCCCTGTCTTACCGAGAGGCTCCCGCCCTGTCTCCCTGCCTGTGCTGCAGGCTGAGCCACCGGCCAGTACCCTGCCCCAGCCCAGAGCTCTGCAGGGATCATGCTCCCTCCTGTCGGGGCTCTGCTTCGAATCACAGCTCCCTGGGGTGGAAGGGACGGCCTGGGTCACCCAGTCTGCCCCCTCGCACTGATGCCTGGCAAAGGAACCTCGACCACTCAACAGGGCTTTGGCCAACCCACTTGTACCCCCCTGGCGCCAGCAGCGGAGTCCCACCCACCCGATCCCCTGGCTTCCACCTGCTCCCTCCTCTCCCTTAGCTCAGCAGTGGCCGTAGAGTCTGCACTTGTGCTGACAGTGCTCCATGGCTCCCAGGGTCCTTGGGACCCCTCCTCACAGCTTGGCAAAGGGCAGGTGGATCGCGTGAGCCAGCAGAGCTCCTGGGGCGCCAAGCCCCTCCCCGGCCCTACCCCCATGGCTCCCCGCATGGCCAGGCTCCCTGCCTGCCCTTGGAGCTAAAGCCAGGGGAGCCTGCGACACGGGGCCATGTCCAAGCTCTCTCCAGCTCAGCCCGGCTGAGAGCGCACAGCTTGAGCTGCCCCAGAGGGTCACAGAGAGCTTCCCCTGTGAACACAGCCCGAGGGAGCACACACGTATTGGGCTGCCCAGCCCACCTGCCTGGGGCTCCAGGGAAGGGTCTGACCGCACAGCATGTGTCCCCCAAGCCCCACGCCTTCCTGGGGTGCCCGCTGTCGGGCCTTGCCAGTGAGCGCCCGTCCTTCCACCCGGCTGGGAACAAGAGCCAGACCTTTGCCCTGGCCACGGGCCAGATGGCGGAGCTAAGCAGGGGGTGGAAGGTTGATCTGCACCATGACAGGCTCCAAGGGGCCATTCTGGGAGTGTGGCGAGAGCGAGACTCAGCCATGGCCCCACGCCAGCAGTGGGGCTCGGAGGCGCTACACCAGCTCTGCCCCACCCAGCAATCCTCCTGCACAGGGGAGACCCTCAGGGCTGGAGCATCTGGAGCAGCAGGGAGCTCCACAGCACAGCCCAGAGACTGGCGAAATGTCTGCTCCTCTGGGGGATGGAAACAGGGCCGGCTCTAGGCACCAGCCAAACAAGCTGGTGCTTGGGGCGGCACATTTTTAGGGGCGGCATGGCCGGCGCCAGAATGCCGCCCCTAAAAATGTGCCCCGGCCACCCTAGCTCACCTCCGCTGCTGCTGCCTGGGAGCGAAGGGGAGATCCCGAGCGGCTGCGGCGCGCGAAACAGCCTTGAGACCCTGGGAGGGAGGGTGAGAAGCGGCGCCCGCGCCGCGGCCACTGGGAATCTCCCCCTCCCTCCCAGGCTTGAGAGCCTGGGGGGAGGAGGCAGGGCTGGGGATTTGGGGAAGGGGCGGAGTTGAGGCGGGGCCGGGGGGGGGAGCGGCCAAAATTGTTTTTGCCTTGGGCGGCAAAAATCCTAGAGCCGGCCCTGGATGGAAAGTTAATTTGCTTCAATTGATTTGGCTTGGAGGCAATTAAAGAGCTGATTAGCGCTTCCCGGCTTACACGGCCCAGCCTGACTGTCCTCCAGCAGACACCACCAGGCCGTGCTCCTCCATCCTCCCAGTGCCACCACCAGCACCTGTTCCCCCATCCTCCCAATGCCACCACCAGCACCTGTTCCCCCATCCTCCCAATGCCCACGACCAGCACCTGTTCCCCCGTCCTCCCAATGCCACCACCAGCACCTGTTCCCCCGTCCTCCTAATGCCACCACCAGCACCTGTTCCCCCATCCTCCCAATA